AAGAGAGAAACTAATAGGTAAACAAGTTTCTTAATTCAGTTTTTTTTTAACTTGGTTTTCTTTGTGGTTGCTGTTTAATTTTCTTTAGGTCTTATTCTTTCAAGTATGATTAGATTCGTGACTAAAGTAAAGATACTATTAATATAATGTGTAGATATCCTAAAATTGGGGGTTGGGTATATTAGGGAAACTATCCCTAATTCTCTTCTAGATTTTGAAACAGGAACTCATCTCCCCTCTCTCATATCTCCCTTCCCCACATATGGTCCTATTATGGACTGCAATATTTTTAGTTTCTTCACACCAAAAGCAACATGTTATTCATTTGAAATCCCCATATGTACTAGCCAGTAAGGGATACATAGTAAGTACTCAAAAAAATTTGTTTGGTAAACTGTCTGCTCCTAGTTGACCTAGCTGACTGTTTTCAAATCATGGAGTGTTATCAATTTTTTAATTGTTTAAAATTGGAATGTAACAAACATGCAGAAAAATATCCAAAACATAAATTGTTTAATGACATCACAGAGAAAACATCCATGTAACCACTCTCGGGTCAAAACGTGGAAAATTGCCAGTACCTCAGAAGCCCCCCTCAAGCTTGAATATTATCTCCCCAAAGGTGACCATTATCCTGACTTCTAACCATATAATCTAGTGTTTCTTATCTAGGAACTTAAAGTCTGTTATTCCTGACTTCTTTCACTCAACAATATGACAGTTGGCTGTGACCAGGTTGTCGCATATAGATCCAGTTTGGCCATTTTCAGTGCTGTGTAGTATTTCACTGTAAGAATAAACTACAATTCATTTTTCCATTCTATTGTTGATAGACATGGGGTTATTTATAGTGGTGTTCGAGAGTAAACACTTTCCTGTTATATATGTTCCAAATATGTTGCCCCATCCTATAACTTGCCTTGATAGGAAACAATCTTCAACTCGTGTTTCTTAACAGTTGCAAGGCATTCTAGGGGTACAACTAGAGTGTCCTCAAGGCATTGTTGAGGTATTTTGTCAGCTCATGGGACAAAAGTACATTATACCTAAAGGGAGAGCTGTTCCACCACCGTGTGTGAGTGAGACTGTGTGTGTTAAGGGAAATGGGGTGGGAAGAGATTGGAGAGGTATGAAAAAACACCATGATTGGATGGATTAAAAATGGTTCTAAATTATTAAACTCATGAGTAAGTTTCTTAATCCACAAGTATTTTTTGACGGCCTTCTACGTGCCAGGTATTGTCATGAGCACAGAATCTTCCATGATGAGTGAATAAGCACAGACCCAGAGAGCTTTGGGTCTAGTTCTATGAAATGAACCGATATTATAGAAATAAAACCAAGTGACATAAACCAGTCACGGAAAGACAAATACGACGTGATTCCACTTTTTATGAGGTATCTAAAATAGTCAAATTCACGGATCAAAGAGTGGAATGGCGGTTACCAGGGGCTGGGTGGAAAGGGAAGTGGGGAGTTACTAACCAAGGGCGTCAAGTTTCGGTCAAGCAAGGTGAGTAGTCTCTAGAGGTCGTCTGTGCAGCACCGTGCCTGTGCTCAGCAGTAATGTGAGCACACAGTTGCACACTTACAAATTTAACAGGGTAGATCTCATGTTAAGTGATCTCACCACAACGAAATAAAATTAAAAAAAAAAGAAGAAACCAAACCAAATTTTCGCTGCTATTGAAATTAGTTTATTGAAATAGAAGATGCTGGTGCCATATCAATATATTAAAAGAGAAGAGAGGTGAGGAATTCTCAGCTTGAAAGGTGAGATTCTAGCTCCTTCTGTGGGAACAGTTCCCCTTGCTGCTGTTGCCTCTTCTGGTGTTTGTCAGCAGAACCGAGTCTAAATTTTGAAGAGTTCACAGGGCACCTCTGCTGGTTTATCTGGTTAATCAAGAAAGCAGCTGTGCAATTGACAGAGGGGGTAAAAGGACCTGAAAGCAGAATTAAACGGGACGATACAAGGATTCCAGTGATCCAAAGGGTAAGTCTGCTCTTCAGTAGAAGCTGGAGAATCCGCATCCTCCGTAGCGTAATGGGCGGTAGCCGTATCCGAAACCTCCAAAGCCACAGCCATAGCCCAGTCTGCGGAAGCTGCCAAGTCCACAGCCGTAGCCCCAGCCCAGGCCGTCGAAGCCTCCCAAGCCATAGCCCCAGCCCAGGCCATCAAAGCCTCCAGGGCCATAGCCCAGGCCTCTGTAGAAGCTGCTGCAGTGCCTCATGGTGTCAGGAACTGTAGATTTGTTTGGATGTCGAGGACGAGTTTCCTGAGTATGACAATCACCAACTCCGCTGGGACTTTTATATACCCTCAGTGATGGGTGGGGCAGGCCACTCGGACTTGCACAATTCTTGTTGCGTTGATTCAATTACATGAAAAAAATCTCATCCATTTTATTGTGTCAAACTTTAGGATGATTCCTGACACTGATTAAAGATGCTTTCATTTGATTTCTGTGCAGTTTGGATTCCACAGGATGATTGTACTGTCTTCAAAGCCCTCTTGCTTTGGACCTCATAGTTAAAGCTCTATAATCAGACATCACAGCATCAATCGTCTCCTATTTTGTCACCTGAAATTGTTCTTTTATTAAAAGAGCCCCTTCCCAGTATCTCTGATTCTTTACTTACTTTATTCATTTCACAAATATTTAATGCTCAACTAATGTATCCTAGGCACTATGCTAGAATATGCTAGTGATATAATTGTAAATAAGAACCACCCTCCCCAAATCCCATGAGTTTAGCCCCTTTATTTTTGGTATTCAAGGTAATGAGGTAATACAAGAGCTAACACTTACTGTATAAATCCAACAAAACATAGTTGACAGTGCAACAGAACCAAACTTATTTTTTTAAAAAAGGGAGAAAAAGAAAAGCAAATGGCAAAATATTGTTTCCTTACATATTTCTACCTTTTACTCTCTGTTGTTTTTGAAACTTTTGATAGTGCCCAGCTCTTACTGCAAGATTTTTTCCATTATTCAATGTTTATAAGGGAAATATCACTGGGGGCAAAGGTTATATGGGTGTATTTTTTGCAAAATGCCATATTCTTCATCTTTGTAACTTTCTTTTTCAAAAAAATAAAATAAAAGATTCTTCTAAAGAGATTAACATCTGGTTATTGCCTCCACCCACCTGACCCACAGCCACAGGAAAAAGCCGGTAGCCCTCCCTGCCTTACTAAATTCCCAACACGATCAGCAAAGAGGCTTAAAAGAAAAGTTGCTTTCCAAATTCTAGGCTTCCATCTTTCTGTTCTTTAAAGACACCTTCATTAAATAGATATTATTT